GCCTAATATCCACCTTGCAAAACGCCGCTTGTAATTTATTTGTTTGTTTGTTTGTTTGTTTGTTGTAAATGAGGAAATCTACACATTCTTATTTGCAGAAGTTAAGGGAAGAAAGACTGCCCATTCTAACCCAGGTTGCCCAGAGAATCTGTAGGAGCCCCATCCCTGGAGGTGCCCAAGGCCAGGCTGGATGGGGACCTGGGCAGCCTGAGGCAGAGGACACCCAGCCCACGGCAGGGGGTGAGACTGAGGGGCTGAAAAGCCCCTTCCAACCTGAGCCATTCTGTGGTTCTATGGTTCTATGATCCAGACAGGCAGCCCATACTGGATAAGCCATAAACCTGCTCTGTCATTTCAGAGCTGCTGTTCTTCCCATAGAATCACAGAATTCTATAGGATGTATGACTTCCTTCAGTGCTCTGCTGAACATCCCTCCACCTCTGCTTCCTCCAGTCCAGCCTGCGCCTTCCTCTAGTTTGCTTTCATTTGTTCTCAACCCAAATGCCTCCTTTAGCTTACAGTCTCACAGTACTTCCTCCTTCCCATTGCTACACCGACACAAAAAAATGGAACTTTTCAGCCTGAAAGCCACCTGCCCTCCTGCAAAGACTTCTGCACTCACTGGGTCTATGCAGGGATGCTGACTCCACCAGATAGAAAGTGCTCAGCCAGCGTGGCTGGGGCAGCCCCCGTGTTTCAAAGCAAGGCATTGCACAGGGAACGGGCTCAGGCTGCCAACATCTCCTCGTGCCAACAGCTCACCCTGAAGTTCTCGGGGTCCACGTGCAACTTGTCGCAGTGCAGCTCCGACAGCTTGGCGTAGGTGTTCTTGATGTTGTCCAGGTTCCTCACGGCTTCCCCAAAGGAGCTCAGCACTTTCTTACCGTGAGCACGGACCCTGGGGTTGCCCATGATGGCCGTGGGGCTGGAGAGGTTCCCAAAGGACGCAAAGAACCTCTGGGTCCAGGGGTAGACGATCAGCAGCCTGCGGAGAGACGAGGGACACAAGCACACACCATTAACACTCCCTCCTAAAACTGCAGTGGTTTCAGTATCCGGGGAGCAGCTGAGCCCATCCTGGAGCAGACTCACCTGGCCAGGGCTTCGGCGCCGCATTCCTCCACGTTGACTTTGCCCCAGATGCTGGTGATGAGCTGCTTCTCCTCGGCGGACCAATGCACCATGGTGGCGGCGGGGTTGGCGTGCGGCTGTGGGAGCACTCAGAGCTTGGAGCTGAGCTGCAGACCCCGGGGGTTTTTATCCCCTGCTGACAGCTCCTCCCCACCCCGCGCCGTGGGGTCATTGGCTGGGACGGGTGGGGGTTGTGCTGGGGGGCAGGAGGGGCTGTCAGGGTGTGGCAGCAGCCAAGGGGCCTCCGGTCATCCCGGCTCTGACCCTTCCCCCAGCGCTGCCCTGCAGACCTGGGCCTCTTTTCACAGAAAGGGCTGCACGTAGAGTCATGGAACCATGGAATTGCTCAGGTTGGAAAAGACCTTAAAGATCATCAAGTCCAACCATCCTACCCTCACTCTGCCAATCCTCCATTAAATCGTGTCCCTGAGCACCACATCATCCAAACAGTCTTTAAGCACATCCAGGGATGGTGACTCCATCGCCTCCCTGGGGAGCCAATTCCAGTGGTTAAAAATCCTTTCTGTAAAGAAATTTTTCCTGATATCAAACCAAGAGCCAGCCTCCATTTGCAACACATGCATGGGCCTCCACACGCACCTCTCCCAAAGCTGCCCCATGACATTTGCCAGCATGCAGCACAGGGTTGTTCCAGCAGCAGAGGCACCACGGGCTCCACGAACACTGAAATGGACTTTAACCCCATTACTATGACAAACCACGACCTGGGCCGTTTACTTTCCATTTTGGGGCCAGTGGACCAGTGACAAGACCCAGTTACACCCATCAGCTGTAAGGTGACAAGGCCACATGCCGAGCTGCTGCACAGGGACTGAACAGGATCGCCGCTTTCACTCTGGTTCTGCTTGTGTTCACATCCGTGAAGAACAGGGGAAACATGCTTTGAACTCCAAAGTTGTCTCTGCTGCATCTGATGTGGGCTCAGAAAACAGCAAAAGCTCAGCTCGGGGGTGTCCAACAGTTGGATCCTCCCCCAGCGAGGGGAGATAGAGGTTGGATATTGGAAAACATTTCTTCTCCCAGAGCGTGACGATGCAGTGGCACAGCTGCCCATGGTGGCGGTGGAGTCACCATCCCCAGAGGGGTTCCAGAGCCACAGAGGGATGTGATCAGTGGGCATGCTGGGGTGGGTTGGGGTTGTGCTTAGAGATCTTGGAGGGCTTTTCCAGCCTGAATGATTCTACGATTCTATGACAAAGCTGGCACGAACCACATCTTCCCCGGGTTGAGGAGCTGTTCAGACACCTCGCAAAGCGCTCTCCTGTGCCGCCCCTGGGAGCACAGCGCTGGGTGCCTTCCCAGGAGCAGCGCCCCTGCGTGAGAGTGCTCACTCTAAACAAGTGGAGCTACCATTGCATGAAGGATCAGAAGAATGAATTATTGGTATCTGTAACCAGTGACATCCAAGAGGCACAGGGGCATGTTGAAGCAGCAGCAGGAGGGGAGGGTGCTCGTATGGCAGCAGAGCTGGAAAGGGGCTGAGCTCCTCCTCAGAGCCCTGGGCTTGCCTTCCTCTGTAGAATCACTGAATCATTGAATCGTTTAAGGTTGGGAAAGATCACTGAGGTAAAATCCAGCTCCGCTGAGCACCGCTTATTCAGTGTCCTCCTGGCCTTGTACCAAAAATAAAGGAATGGGAGGAAAATCAATCAAAAGAAAGAAAATACTGAGGGAGACCTTCAGCCTTTTAATACCCTTTTCCCTTCTAGTTGTATACCTTATTTTACACCATGGAGTAGATCTGAATCGTGGATTAGAGTTGCCTACATCTGCCTTTGGCTGGTGATACCTGAGCACGACTCTCACTGTGCCCAGACACCTGCAAGGAAGACAGCGCTTTCTGTCTCAACACAAAGTGTCTTCTGTCCTTGTGACAGCAAGGACACCCTCCTTCCACTGAGCAGAGTGCTTGAGGAGGGGCCATGGGGCCATGGGGCAATGTGGGCTTTGATACCAGCAGTGAGTCAGAGGAGGTGAGGGGGATGCCATGGGCAGGGATGGAGCAGGGACAGCGGTGCAGACTTGGTGCCGGGGGTTCTTGGTGCATCCCCTCTGTTTCCCCTTAGAAAGCAGCACGTCGTGCCAGCTGCTTTTGCTGCCCCGTGCTCATCTCAATAGGATGAGTGGTTCTCCCGTGCCAAGAACAACCCCCACCCTAGGGAGCCCTGCTCTGTGCGCATTTAAACACCTCTACGGTTTGCGTGCAGATGGCATCAATTGATTTGTGGTTCCAGATCATCATTAATAGTTACCAATGCTGACAGGATTAATCCCCCTCTCCTCCCCCACCCAGAACTGCAGAATGGGCAGTGCAGGGTGAAGAAGCGCATAAACAAGGTCTGTGCAAGTCTTGATAGCAAAATGTTTATCTGCAACCTGCCCCCACCCAGCTGGCTGCTGGGCTAGCATGAGTCAGCTCCTTTCAGGGAGGCTGAATGCCAGAAATGAGCCAGGAAGGATTAAAGCCTTCACTTTGTTTATTCTCTCTTAAATATATGATTCCTCTGTGTCAGTAAGAAAACTCATTTCCACAGACATAGCCCCAGTGCAAACCTCCCAGAGCTGTGCCTGCCCAGACGTGGGCTTGCAGGTTTGCTTTCCAGAGACAGATCCCACAGAACCCCATAAAACCCCACTGAGCACAAAGCACTCCATAGAGCCAACCCTGCCTCCCCTGAGCTCCCACCGTGCCCACGTCCCCCACCCCAGCCCCAGGCTGCACAGGGACACACAGACAGCAGATGAGTGTCACTGAATGGACTTTATTTGCCTGTCACAAGCTGTCAGCCTCGGAGCATTTCTGCAGGTGCATGCAGTAGCTGTAGGGTGCTCCGGGATCTTTGCTGCTGGTGCTTAGTGGTACTTGCGAGCCAGGGCATGGGCCACGACACGGACCAGCTTCTGCCAGGCAGCCTGGCATTCAGGAGTGAAGTCCTTGCTGAAGTGGGCGGCCAGGACGATGATGAGGATGTCACCCAGGAGCTGTGGGGATGGGAGGACCCTCTGTTAGCAGTGCCCCGAAGCCAGCCCCTCTCTGTGCCAGTGCTTGCACCGGCACCAGGGAAACCTACCTAGGCTTAAAGATGACCCTATAAAGTACAGCCCTTGTTAAGACATACCTTAAACTCATTAATCTGAATTAATGTTCAGTCTAAACATCAAAATGTACAATGTGCAAAACACACCAGTTCCTGTCTTGGCTGAGCTGCTGGGCCCAAAGCTTTCCATCTCACCCTGTCGGGCCATATTTCCTCCCTCTGCTACTACTATGAGAAGAGCCACAGGCTATGCAGAAATCCTCCATTTGGCTGCAGGTGGGAGCTCCGGGGAGTGGGCAGCACAGCCACACTCCTGCTGGCATGTGGGACCTCCACCACCCCTCCCATCTCACTGCTTGGCTCTCAGCATCCAGCCACTGTCCCTTGCTCCTCGCCCATCTCCATGCCATGTTGCACTCTTGCTCCTTCACTTTCCCCTTGGCTCAGACTTCTTTCCACTCCAACAGTGGCTTTTGCTTTGCTCTCCCCTCCATTTCTGCACTGCAGCCACCTCCTCACTGCCTTTCCTTCTCCTTTGTACCCTCACTGTCACCCACCCGTCAGCCCCTCCATCCCCTTCATTCCTTTCTCACTGCTGCAGGTTGGTCCCCTTCCTCTCTATGTGTCTCACCTCTGACCCCAGCCTCCAATTCCACCTAGGGGAGATCTATGGGGAACACCCACACATGGGTCCTAGGGGACACAGGGGAATCTCCTCTTGGAGATGCATTGGCCTGGGACCCAGGCAAGAGCACGGCTCACCCTGAAGTTCTCGGGGTCCACATGCAGCTTGTCACAGTGCAGCTCGGACAGTTGGGAGAAGGTGTTCTTGATGTTGTCCAGGTTCTTCACAGCATCCCCAAAGGAGGTGAGCACTTTCTTGCCATGGGCACGGACCATGGGGTTGCCAAGGATGGCGGTGGGGCTGGAGAGGTTTCCAAAGGACGCAAAGAACCTCTGGGTCCAGGGGTAGACAATCAGCAGCCTGTAGGGAACAGAAGCACACACACCTCCAATTGCAGCCATTTCCCTACCCAGGGAGCAGCTGAGCCGGTGCCCATAGCTGGACCTACCTGGCCAGGGCTTCGGCCCCGCAGTCGGCCACATTGACCTTGCCCCAGAGGCCGGTGATGAGCTGCTTCTCCTCAGCAGACCAGTGCACCATGGCGGCGGTTGGAGGGTAGCGTGTGGCTGTCGGTACGGAGGAGGTCTGGGCTCTGCTCCCGCGGGGATCGCACGCTGGTGAGCGGCCGTCTGCGTGCCCACTTTTATCCGCTCCGCCGGGCCCCTCCTCTTCCCCGTGCACCCCGCAATTGGCTGCATCTCAGGAGGGGCCCCCAGCCTTGGCACCTCGGGGGAGGGAACGCGGCATCAGGGTGGGGCACAGGGCAAAGTGCCCAGATCTGTGGCCACACCACCGCCCAGCCCCCCCGGCTCCCCGCTCTGCAGCTCTGTGACTGCGCCGTACATCCCCATACATCCCCATACATCCCCATGCATCCCCATGCATCCCCATGCATCCCCATGCATCCCCATGCATCCCCATGCATCCCCATGCATCCCCATACATCCCCATACATCCCCATACATCCCCATACATCCCCATGCATCCCCATACATCCCCATGCATCCCCATACATCCCCGTACATCCCCATACATCCCCATACATCCCCATACATCCCCATACAACCCCATACATCCCCATGCATCCCCATGCATCCCCATACATCCCCATGCATCCCCATACATCCCCATACATCCCCATACATCCCCATGCATCCCCATACATCCCCATACATCCCCATACATCCCCATACATCCCCATACATCCCCATGCATCCCCATACATCCCCATACATCCCCATACATCCCCATACATCCCCATGCATCCCCGTACATCCCCATACATCCCCATACATCCCCATACATCCCCATGCATCCCCATACATCCCCATACATCCCCATGCATCCCCATACATCCCCATACATCCCCATACATCCCCATACATCCCCATACAACCCCATACATCCCCATACATCCCCATGCATCCCCATACATCCCCATACATCCCCATACATCCCCATACATCCCCATACATCCCCATACATCCCCATACATCCCCATGCATCCCCATGCATCCCCATTCATCCCCACGCACGGTGTGGGCATGGCACCGTGTGCCCACCCCAGTGCTGTCAGCTTGGTGCCCCTCACACAGTTCCAAACCACAGCACTCCGCCTTGCTTGAGGCAGGAGACCACAACTTGGGTCTGTTGGGTCCTTCCTCCCAGCACACCAACCACACGCATGTGGTTTCTCTCTCTTCCTCTTCCCGCCAGGCTTGGGTCCTCCTTGTTCTTTCCCATCAGCTATTGAGCAGCTTGCTGACTTTGGGGTAGCATTAAGTGAGCTGGGGGCAGCAGGGTGCAGAGCTCCTGCCTCAAAGAGCCTGCAGGCAGAGGGAAACAAGGTGGGCTCAGAACAGAGAACACAGAGATCACTTGCATGGCATCAGTGCACGGGTGACCTAGGGAAGGTGGGACACACTGGGTACAGCAGGGACAGCCTCACTGGCAGCAGGAAGGCAGCACCTGACCTGACCCAGTGACATGGCAGTGTGTTGGGAGAGCTGCCTGGGGCTGCCAGGCTGCAGCCAGCAAGCAGGACTGGAGCTGGACGTAATGGGGCCAGGACCTGCTGACCCAGGGGTGGATGGCCATGGAGCAAGGCACTGGCACAGGCCATGGGCTGTGGCTGACACTTGTGCTCAAAGATGCACCAGTTCTCTGCACATTTGCTTTGGAAAGGGCTTGGTAGAAGGGCTACAAACAGCTGAGTTGGGTGCGTGCCTGCACTGTAGCTGTGACTTCTGCCTTCTCCCTGATAACAGGGCAGGAGGGCGTGGGTAGGAATTCTTTGTGCCAGGATCCAGAGGTTTCCCCGAGCTGCTCTGCAACCTTGGGCATGCTGCGAGCCACATCTGGGCTCAAATGGGGATGGGAGCCTGGAGAGCACCGTCTGCACAGTGAGGGGACTTCAGGGAACTTTTGCTGCTGAAAAGCTGGGTGTAGGGGCAGTGAAACCAAGTGCTCTGTCCTTTCTGTGTGTGGAATGATCATTCTTGGAATATCTTTTTGCCATAATAGACTCCTGCGACTATTAAATTCTGCCTTTAATAATTTGAGAATTAAAACAATTTGGACGAGGGCAGAAAACCAGTACCATAAAATCACAGAATATCCCAAGTTAGGAGGGACAAAAAGGATCATAGAGTCCAACTCCTGGCTCCCTTTCACGCTTCCTTCCACCAAAGATGTTACAAACAACACACCTCATCTCACTGCAACTGCACGTTTTTGTGCAAAGATTTGTTCCACTCGAACTGTGGAAGTTTACAGCATTAAATGCAGGGATGTTGCTGATGCCTCAGTGCAGAACCAGTGTCCTGTTTGTATTTTGGGGTATGTTTATTTGCTCAGGTCTTGAATGCTCCCTGTGCTTATCCAGCTCAGACAAATCTCACCTGCAGGAATTCATGGAAACAAGACACGTCCTGCAGTACCGCGTATGTGAGCACCTCGTTCCATTCCCAGCCCCCACCCTGACCCTACAGAGAGGCAGAGACTCTATCCTGACTGCAGCAGTGTTTATTTGGCAGTTACAGCCCAGAGACCCCGAGGACTCCGGCAGCATCTCCACGTGGCTCAGTGGTATTCATGGGCCAGTGCATGGGCCACCACACGCACCATCTTCTGCCAGGCAGCCTGGCTGGCAGGAGTGAAGTCCTTGCCGATGTGGGAGGCCAGGACGACGATCAGGATGTCCCCAAGGAGCTGGCAAAGGAGGAAGAAGAGAAGCCATCAGCCAGTGCTGTTCCCAGCTCCTCCATAGCACGCAGCCATCCCAGGGCAGTGATGGAGATCCATCACGATGCAAGGAGCCCATTTCCTGCAGCCCATGCACTGTTCCTGGCACTCTGGCACTCGCTGGGATGCTGGAACGTGCTGTAGCCCCCTCCTCCCCAAACACCTTCTCTACACCGGCTGTGCCAGTGACCCCTCTCAGCTCTGGATGTGCTTTTTCTCTCCCTTCGTTTCCCCACTGCCTTGGCTCTCTTTGACTCAGATGCCCCCATTCTGTTGAAATGGCTGTGTCTATTTTCTGTCCTGGATTAACCATTCCCTCATGTCCAAGCTCATCTCCTCCCCACCAATCCTGTCTTTGTTTCTTCTCTTCTCCTCCCTTGCTGCTCCAGGCTGATGTTGTTTCTCTCCATTCACTCTGCAGACTGCACGTAAATCACCCCACATTTTGTGCTCATCCACCCCACCAGCGTGCATCCCTCCTCTCGCACACCTCAGTCCCATAAGTGCTGCCTGTTCTCCCTAGAGGCTCACCCTGAAGTTCTCGGGGTCCACATGCAGCTTGTCACAGTGCAGTTTGCTCAGCTGGGCAAAGTTCTTCTTGATGTTGTCCAGGTTCTTCACAGCCTCCCCAAAGGAGGTGAGCACTTTCTTGCCATGGGCACGGACCATGGGGTTACCAAGGATGGCGGTGGGGCTGGAGAGGTTCCCAAAGGACGCAAAGAACCTCTGGGTCCAGGGGTAGACAATCAGCAGCCTGCAGAGAGATGGGGCACACAAGAACACACCTCCAATTGCAGCCATTTCCCTACCCAGGGAGCAGCTGAGCCGGTGCCCATGGCTGGACCTACCTGGCCAGGGCTTCGGCCCCGCAGTCGGCCACATTGATCTTGCCCCAGAGGCCGGTGATGAGCTGCTTCTCCTCAGCAGACCAGTGCACCATGGTGGCAGCCGTAGGGCTTGCTTTGGGCTTCCCTGAACAATGAGTAGGAAGTGGGGCCAGAGGCTGCCCGTGGATTTTTATACACTACTCACGGCTTGCCCTAATCTCAGTTGACATTTCCATTGGTTGCGTCTGGGGAGGGAGCTGAGCTGCAGAAAGAAAGATAGCGAATTTGGATGCTGTCCAAGGGGAAAAGGGGCCCATGCCCCTCTGCCTTTGAGTGGACCGGCTTCATTTCACACTCGTGCTCTCGCAGCCGCAGCCCTGAGTGCAGGTGGAGCTCCCTGCACGGCCCTTCCACGGCCACAGGTTTCCAGTGTCACTGCCAGTGTTCGAGGACTGATCTTGTGGAAGAGATCCAGTGAAATGAGCAGTGATGTCAAAGAGCTCACAGCCTTTACCTTGGCCTTGTTTTCAGATTCTCAATGGTGCTTTGGTGCCTGCACTCCTGGGAATCCATCGTGAACAGCTCCAGGCGTCATCAGCCCCAAAACTGAAGGATCAGAGGCTTTCCGGGAAACGAGAGCCCAATGCTTATCCCAAATGTAGGCCTCATGCTTTGAATTCAAGATTCTCCTTTCTTGTCAGTACTCATAAAGAGCTTCACAGCTGTTGTCCCTTCCTATTGTCCATAATTGCTGCCCACAGTAGTTCTCCATAGCTATTCTTTGTGTTGCGTGGTTCTCCATAGTCACCCATAGCAGTTCTCCATGGTTATTGTCCATAGTTGTCCATTGAATCAAAGTGTTTTTTTGGCAGCAGGAGAGGCTGTCAAAAAAACAAGCAAAGCACTCTTTGCACTGTCATTTTATAACGATGCACCATGGGATGCTCTGTTGCACTCAGTTATGCAAGTAGCCTGCGACAGTGAGGAGCTGAGCCCTGCCTGACTTCAGCTGCAATAAATTGGCCACCTGGCCACAAACTGCACTGTTTTACCAATGGCAGCTCTGGTTATGCTAACTACGAGTGAGCAATTTGTTCCTGCAAATGCTTCCTCATTTGGTGTAGACATGAAATGAGGAGGTTGCAATGACAACAAATTGCTCTACAGATGCAAGTTGCAGATTCCTTGCAAACGGGATGGGATGGTGAGCTGGTGGCTGCTGTCCTGCAGCTCAGGAGCTCCATCCCACAAGGGCAGATCCAGACTTCCAACCCAGGTGTAAGGGGAGATACTAAACCAAGAGATGAAGAAGCAGCTCCTGAGGCTTGCTGACCTTCACTTGATTTCTCTTTTGCTCCTGAGTAGAACCTGAGGCTGCATGCCCCACTTTGCAGCAGCTGGGCCGTGGTTCACAATGAGCTCACAGTGAGGTGGATTCAAACTGGATGGTGTCTGCAAGACTGGCAAGAAGCATTCAGCTCTTTCTGCCAAGCAGTGAGATGACTGAGGGATGCTCAGCAAAAAGCAAAGAACACTCAGACAGCTCAGACAGTCCCAGCCCTGCACTCTGCTTTGGAGGTCTTCTTCAGGGATGACTCCATCTCATGCATCTCTCTAAGTCAGAGCTCATTTGCACCCACATGGGACAGATTCACTTCACCCACAACCCTTCCCCAGCATCCTTCCATCCTGCTGTCTCCTTTGGTCTGACTGGAGGAGCCCCATGTGTGGTTCTCAGCTTCTTGGTGCACGCTGGGCAATGCCAATTCCACGGACAGGAACTCTCCTATTTTACAGAATCATAGGATCACTGTAGTTGGAAGGAACCTTTGAGGGCAATTGAGTCCAACTGCCCTGCCCTGCACAGGGACACACAGCTCCATCAGGTTGCCCAGGGCCTGACCCAGCCTTGCCTGCAAAGCCTCCAGGGACGGAGCATCCAGCTCAACTCTGGGCAGCCTGTTCAGTGCTCACCACCCTCACTGTAACAGACTTTTTCCTTACATCCAACCTAAATCTCCTGTCGTGGAGCTTGAAGCCATTTCCCCTTGTTCTGCCAGCAGACCCTGCTCAGGAGCCTGTCCCCTTCTCTCCTGTTGCTCCCCTTCAGAGCTGACAGGCTGCTCTCAGCTCACCTCGCAGCCTTCCCTTCCCTTCTCCACCTGCGCAGCCCCAGCTCCCAGCTGTCCTCGCAGGAGAGCTGTTCCATCCCTGGATGGTTTTCGTGGCCCTCCTCTGGATGCTCTCCAACAGCTCCACGTCTCTCCTGCACTCCGCATCTGGACGCAGGGCTCCAGGTGAGGCCTCACGGCGCAGAGCAGAGGAGGATCACCTCCCCGACCTGCTGGTTGCTCTTGTTTTGCTGCAGCCCAGGATGCAGTCGGCTTTCTGGGCTGTGAGGGCACAGTGCTGGCTCACGCCCAGCTTCCATCCATCAGCACCCCCAGGTCTTTTTCGGCAGGGCTGCACTCAATCCTTTCATCCTCCAGCTTGTATCGCTAACGGGGGCTGCCTTGACCCAGGTGCAGACCTTGCACTTGGATTTGTCGAACCTGACGAGGTTCAGCTGGCCCCAGTGCTCAGCCTGTCTGTGTCCCCCTGGGTGGCATCCCGTCCCCCTGCTGTGTCACTGCGCCCCGCGGCTCGGGGCCATCAGCAAACTGCTGAGGGTGCACTCGACCCCACTGCTAACATCATTGATGAAGATATTGAAGACATTATGGATAAATCATCCTGCTGGCAGCAAAAGGCAGCTCACAAAAGAAGCAATGTTTGTTGGTCACTCTGATTGCAGCACGCAGCACCCTGCGCCAAGCTTTACTTATCAGCAGCAGTGGCAGATGAAGCCTCTGGACCACAGCCAGTCACTCTTCTCTCTCCTCCAGAACTCACAAGGGCTTAAGTTGACAGCTGAAATCCTGTAAGCATCTTTGCTCCCTGTTTGTTTCTGTGATGGCCAAAGTGAGGAGCATATAAACAGGAGGGGGAATGGCTGTGTGCAAGGGTGGGTAGTGATAGGACAAGGGGGAATGGTTTTGAACCTGTGATTGTATGATTCTATGAAATAATGCTGAAATGCCATTTGCTGGTGGACAGGAGGGTGTTGTATTGTAGGAAAGCTGTTCTGGTTTCTGTTGGCTTTTTGCTTTTTCCCCCCATCCCTGCATCCTCTGCCTATCACTCAGGCTGGATGTGTGGCTCACAGGGGTCACAAGTGCAAATCCCTGCTTTATCTGCAGGAAGGCAGGAAACACATTCCTAAATCACGAGTTTCTTCATCTTTCCCTGTTGCTTTTTAACTTACTTCTGAAGAAGACTGATGTTCTTAGACAGAACCCTTCCATTACAGTGAAAAACCGTTGTTCATTAAGCCAATCTGAGTCAAGATTGTCTGATCCCATGTAAAAACTGCCCTCAGCCCCTGCTCTGCAGACATCTTCTTGCAGGGAGCATCTTCTGCTCAGAATGCCCAAGGCTCCTGGAAAGAGCATTTTCATCTGATACAGAAAACGCTTTTTATCACCTTGAGGATACATTTTTCAGTCTGAGCCGCCTTGAGGGAATCTCTCCAAATCTTTACCCTTGCACACACTGCAGGCTGAGAAGCGTCCGGCCCTGCAGCTCTGCCTTCTGTGCAGAAGAGGTCAGAAATATTCCCTGGTGATTTCTGCAGACTGAAAGCACCGCTTGGTGGGCTGGGACGTGCCAAGTGCTGGATGAGAGGCCTCTGTCCCCACGTGTCCCCAGATGTCCCCCCTTTGGCAAACCTGACTGTCTTTTTAGTCCATGACACTCCCCAGAGCCCTGAGCCCTCTTTCCCTTCTGGTGCCCCTTCCTCCCACCCTCCCCACAACAGGAGCACACCAAGCAGTTCAGACAATGTGCTTTTTTATTGACTCTCACAGCTGTTTCCTGCTCTGGGAGCTCAGTGGTACTTGTAGGCCAGGGCATGGGCCACCACGCCGACCAGCTTCTGCCAGACAGCCTGGCAGGTGGGGGTGAAGTCCTTGGTGAAGTGAGCGGCCAGCACGATGATGAGGATGTTCCCCAGGAGCTGCAGGGAGAAGGGAAGCAATGCGGTCAGCACGGTGTGGAGCATCCCCTGCCCTGCACAGGACCCAGAGGCTGCAGCTCTGAGGGGTTCAGAGATGCTCTTTCTGCAGGAAAATGTCCTGTGCTCACCACAGACACCAAGATCCACCTGTTCCGTCCTTGTCTCCCACCTGCTTTCTCCAGCCTCTCCACTGTATTCCCAAAATGTTCCTGAATTTGTTTTTTTTCCTGCCGTGAATCCCCATGCCTGCTGGAGCTGGGGCTCAAGTCAGTGCCACGTCTGTCTGCTGCATCCCCAGAGCAGGGGCAGGAATGGAAGCCAAGGGCCTCATCCAACCCCCACAGCCACAGCCCACCCCTGCACCCTGCTCTCCTCTGCTCCCCTCGGCCCCCCTCCTTCATCTTCTGACCCTGTTCCACACCCAGACCTCTCTGACTCTAATCCCAGCCTGCTGATCTCTCCCCATCAGCACCCAGCCCCTGATGATCCCTGCATCTTCATCCCACATTGGCTTTTCCCTCTCCTCCCATATATGTCATCCCTGAGGCACGGTGTGCCAAGGAGAAACTGCACATGGCCCTCGTCCCCTTGACCCTCAGCCCTACTCAGCCTCTCACCTTCCTTCTGCTTTTTTCCAACCTCCAGGCACTCAGAGCATCTCCCTCTATCTGTCCCCAGATTTGTCACAGCCTGGAGCCCCTTCCTTCAAATTACTAGATGCACAGCCTTCCCTCTCTTTCTTAAGCACTTTCCGTCCAAGCCAGCCCCTTTCTCTTCAATACCTAAAATATCTGCTACTTAAGTTCCCCCAGAACCCTCCAGGCAATGCTCCACAGGCCGGAGGGACAGACGGACAACCTCAGCA